AGTATGATGAGTGAGAGCATGGGAATGAGGTCTTTTTGGCAGAGCAAGGTTTGGGCCAGTAGTGAATCAAGGAGATGGGCAACAGTAACTAATTCAGAGGGATGGACTGCACCTGTGTTTGTAGAACTAATTGTGATTTATCCAAAAAGGAGAGAACTCCATCTGTTTCGTAGAAGGCAGATCTTGCAGGGCATTATGGGCTTTGTTAAAGATAATAAGATGCTGAAGGTTTCTTTCTAGAGCATTTGGACAAAACTTTCAAAGTTTTCTTCTTACACTTGACTACAAGCCACATACTTCAGTCACAGTGTTAGTTGTAGATATAATGCTTATTCCTGCTATGAGTTTTTAGGCTAGATAAAATGCTTCATGAAAGATTGCTTATCAGAAATCTGGCAATGAGTATGTTTTTCGCAAAGAACATCAATGCAACCTAATAATGTATGCCACATTGTAAAATTCCTGCTTTTATGTAAAAATTAGATTTTTATTACTTAAACATTATCAGAATTTTCATTTAAAAGCTTAAATGGCAAGGATAGCATATTTTCATATTGTATTCAAACTGACTTTTAGACAATGATTTCCTAACTGTATCTTGCTCTAATAAAATAATTTATATTTTTTGGTTATTATTATTATGCAAATATATTAGTAAATGACAGCCTTTCTGCAGTCCTAGGGAAGTAATGATTAATGGAACTTAATAATGTTGTTGGGGATCAGCAGTTGGTGTGGTGATTAAGATGCTGGACACTCCCATATGGCCGACCATGGTTCGAGTCCTGGACTTGGTGGCTTGCTTTCTCACTTTCCCTTCCTCTCTTTCTCTCTCTCTCTCTCTCTGGTCAAATTAAAATAAATAAATGAGTAAATTAAATTAAATAAATAATTCTTTAAAAACAAAACCATGTCTTAATTGCATCCCAAAATCAGGCCAAAGAGATACAACAGTGGCATGTTAGCTATGCTAAGCTCTCAAGGCCCTACTTTCCCATGTCAGACAACCTCGCCTATTGAAAAAAACAAAGAGAGAGAGAGAGAGAGAGATAAGAAAAGAAAAAAGAGTACAACCTGTTAAATCTGTCTTTGACCACATGTTGAACTATTCATTTATGATAGGAGGAGTTTGTTGAAGGAAACAGGGATCATTTTGTGTATTACAGGGACGCTGGTACGACAGTTAGCAATCAGGCACCTGGTATGTGCTCTGCAGAGTATAAAGTATGATTTGTGGGCTCCATGATCCCTAAAATTTCTTATTTCATTCATGCCTTCATTTAATATTTATCGAAAACCCGTTATATACCAAGTATTAAGCATCATTCCGAGGATGTAGTTGTCCACAGGTAGACAGTCTTTTTCTTGACGGAGTTGAAGATGTAGTGGAAATGTTTCTGAAACAATTGAATAACATATAACAAAGTGTTATTAGAAAATCATGTCAGGTATAGCCATGGCATTAGGCTATTTTGTAGAGGAAATGGATTAAGAACTAAGCTGTACGTTATCTTGTATTTGTGACTAGGAATGATATTTTAGGCCATGAATGAATCTGTTCTCAATGTGCTGAAAAGTACATAGGAGGGGGTAAATTTGATGAGAAATTTAAGTTGTTAAGCTGTTACTTAGAGAATACTAGGGTAAACATTGATTTGTAACTAAGAGAAATAAATTTCAATTGCTACCTATATATGCTAGAGAAAAATTTAAATTATGACTCCAGAATTGTGATTTCCAGAGAAATATTGGGTTGTTGGAAAAGTTATGATGCATTTTTAAATAGAAAAATACATCGTGATTTTTCCAACAACTCAATAAGTTTAGACAAATTTTTTTTTAGATAAATTTTTGCTATAGGGTATGTGTGCTCATCAGAGACACAGAAAGAGAGTAAGTGAGAAATCAGCGCCCCCCAGGGACAATGGTCACACTGCAGTCCCTTCTCCTCTATTCTCCTCCTGAGAATTTGGGCATTCATGCATGTGCACTGGCATGAGTTTTAAGCTGCCAGGTCTTGGCCTCGAACCATGGTTGGCTATGTGGGAGTCCAGCAACTAGACCATTATGCCATCTGATGGTCCACAGTTCAGACAAGGAGTCCAGCAACTAGACCATTATGCCATCTGGTGGTCCACAGTTCAGACAATTTTTTTTTGAAAGAATGATTTATTTATTATTTCCATTTGTTATTATCTTTTAATTTGACCAGAGAGAGACAGAGAAAAAAAGGGAGAAAGCCAGCCACTAGGTCCAGTAGTCAAACCACAGTGGACCATATGGGAATCCAGCACCTCTAACCACCACACCACCTGCTGGCTCTAGTTCAGACAATTTTTGAAAAAGTAAATGGGGTCAGTATATGGTGTGGTGATCAAGGCAGCTGGATCTCACATGGTCAACTTATGGTTAAAATGCTGAATCTATCACCTTGAAAAAGACACTGGGCCCAAGGTCCTGAAGGGAGAAATGGAGACTGAAGGATTTTGACATGACCGTTCCCCACGGAGAAGGGTGCTTTCTCACTCCCTTCCCCTCTGTATCCTGCAAACACATACACCCTCTGGCAAAAATTAAACAAAACAAAAACCTCTCGATTTATCTTGTATTTATGACCAATCAGATTGATTCAAGTGCCACCACGAATGTAATTATTTTTAATTAAGCTGGCTTGATAATCAGCAAGGGCTGATTATTTTCTTGGACAGCAGCATATAGTACTGATTTCATTCTTAAGTATGTTTATAGTATGCTTTCAAGTTAAACTGTCATTGGTTATTAGTTCTGACACAATCCTTTCTGTTTGTTTCTAGCTATGTGTTCTGTGTGCCTCAGTTTGTTTTTATACAAAGAAGATGTAATAGTGTGTATTCAGGTTCAGCCTTCTAGTGCAGCTGGTAGCAAACTGAGCTGTAGGGCTGGAAGTCACACGGCTGACAACTGGTTTGGATTCCAGGTCGACTTGTAAATATGTCATGATCCTGATAGCTAGAGGGCTAGAGAGAGGGGATTGAAGAACGGGCATAACGGCACAATGATACTCTGTTAAGGGTGCCCTTCCACCTCCCAGCATTATGCATGCACATGTGCTGTCTACTACGAGTGAATTAAACTTCAAACCAAACCAAACCAAAACAAAAAGATACTTATTCGTAAAGTTGTTGAGTGCCTTTACAGTTGGTCTGTAGGCTGAGGTTGGCTTTTTAAAAAACAATTTTCTTTTCTTTTTTCTTTTTTTTGGAGAGGTTTTTTGCAGAGGGGTGCATGCGCTCTCCAGAAAGACAGAGAGAGACAGAAAGACAGAAAGCGAAATCACCCCCCAGGAGTTTGGCCACACCACAATCCCTTCTCCTCCATTCTCCTCTTGGGATCTTAGGCATGCACACACAAGCGCCCGACATGAGTTTAAGCCACCAGATCTGGGACTCGAACTGTGGTCGACTACATGGGAGTCCAGTGACATAGCCATTACATTAACTGCTGGTCCCAAAAACCAATATTTTGCTTACTGATTTTTGATTTTTATCATTGCCAAAGAACAGAAATAATGGAAGGAACATAGCAGCTAGGTGCATATATACATTTGGATTAAAACGAACAAACAAGCAAACAAACAAAAAACGGTAAGTCCAAAAGGACATCTGAAGACCAGTTTAAAGAACTAGAAGAAAGAGACTACTGGAATGAAATTGTATCCTTCATCATGGGGTAGAAGTGAAAAAGGGAAAAACACATATCCTGAGCATTGTGTTATCCTATCTGTCAATATTACTTTACACTTAGTCAATACGTTTTAACAATCGCCTTTCCATTTCAGGACAGATAACTCTTCTCTGCCCCTGCATCGTTTTCTTTCATTTGGGTTTTAATCTTTGTTACAGCATCTCTTAACCCTGGTGACATATTGATCCAAGCCTCACTTAGTGTTTCAGTTTCCTCATTTGTTCACAGATTTCGTATTATTTATACAGCCAAATTTTTTCCCAAGTCTCCTGATTTTTTCTGCAACTGTTAGTTAAATCTGGCTTCAGTGACTTGCCTGGTTCTAACATGTATCTGAGACCATTTATGGAACTGATTATACTAAATAATCTTTTCAAAATCATGAGTTTTCAAGAAATGGACTGATAAGACCAAAATATATTATTACTGTTTGGTATAAATGTAGTACGAAAGAGAACTCATCCCCCTGCACCAAGTCCCTTAGAAAACTCCATGGCATACTTTTGGGAATATATTAACCAGGTGAAGGGTAGAGTGAGAGATATAGGTAAGGGAATATAAACTAGAAGACATTGATACGGCAGTTACCAAGCCGAAAATTCTAAAATAACATTTCACAACAATTTTAGATCCCATGTGCAAATTAATATCAGATGTACTAAATTCATTTTAGAACCTGTTAATATATTTATTATTTATTTACTTATATATACTTTAGCTTTTTTTAAGAACAATGTAATTTAACTTTATTTATTTATTTATTTATTTATTTAAATTTGACCAGAAAGGGACATAGTGAGAAAGAGAGAAGTGTGGGGTGGAGTGAGAAAGCAAGCTTCCAGGTTTGGGACTCAAACCATAGTTAGCCATGTGGGAGTCCAGCACCTTTAACCACTCTGCCACTTGCTGGCCACTATAATTTTTTTTTTTTTAATATACAAATGTGTGTTTTCTTTGAACTTACTATTCCCAGAAATACGGGAAGATTAGTTAACTGATATTAATGTTGTTCTGCTTTTGGTCATTCTACTGGTGCATGTTTGACTTACTATTCAAGTTATCATTTTTTATTTCGGATGTCAATTTGAATTTAAAGAATTCGGTTATCTGTATCAGTGTTTCTGTTACCATCCATTTCTTTTTGTTTATATTTCTCAAAATAACCTTACTTTGTCAAAAGTGTAATGAGGGTCATATAGCCTAGCTTGTTAAGTTTAATAACTATAGGACTGAAAAAAATGTGCCAGCTCATTTTCCCTTTTTGGTTTGTTTTGCAGGTGACAATGGCCAACATTGGAATAAATGGAAATAATTCTCTGGAGACCTGTGAAACAACACTTTTTGCTCTCCGAATGGCAACGTGGAATCAAATCTTAGATCCCTGGGTCTATATTCTTCTACGGAAGGCTGTCCTTAGGAATCTCTACAAACTTGCTAGACGCTGTTGTGGAGCAGATGTGATCAGCTTGCATATTTGGGAGCTTAGCTCCATCAAAAATTCCTTAAAGGTTGCTGCTATATCTGAGTCACCAGTAGCAGAAAAAATAACTCAGCAAGCACCTAGTTTAATAGAGCAGTAAATCAGCACAGGACTAGAACAGAATTAAGAAAAGTTTTGGCAATATTTCAGTTAATTAGATAAATAGATATAGCTTAACTGGAAAATTCAAACCTCAGCACATAGTTTGGAGGCACTTTGGTCAGATTTATCTTTTGAAGTTTGTTCAATTAACTGTATTGCAAATTTTTGTTTGTTTTTGTCAACTGGAGGTAGACACAATGAAAGAATACCATGGAAATTAAAAATTGAAAATAATTTTGGACTGATCTGTGTTATTCATGCTTTTGAAATGAGTGAATCTGTTGTAGCCTAATACATTTACTTGCCCTTTTTACCAGAGAACATTTTTCATGCTACCTGCATAGCAAAATGGCTACTTTGGTATTTTTATTTTATTTTAAATTTAAAATTTTTAAAAATGTTTTTATTATTCTGTAGCTATTTCCAATAGACCAAGCTCAAGAAAATGGAGCACCCTCATTTTTTGATATGGTCTGTTTTATCTCTCATTGTGTGGCCTCAATCAATATAAGCATGGCTGTGACACCTGCGATACACGACGACTTATGCATTTTTGAGGGGTTTGGCTAACAGGCTACCTGACCTTGAGAACCTATTTAGAAATGGACCCATTCTTGTCATACTTGACAAATATGACTACTTGCATTAATTATTGTGAAGGGCATCCATTTGAGAGCTCTTTGTTTTTGTTTCTGGCAAGTCATAGATTTATATTGTTTCAATAATCCCCTTTTTCTCTAAAAATAAAAGTACACAGATGCACAATAAATGATCTTTAGAGAAACAAAGGATCTATATCAGCACATACACAGGCAACTTGTATTATAGCAGTTCTTAAGAAGTTCTGCCACTGGTAATGCAAACAAACAGAACCGAAACTTGTGATAGGTGTAAAGAACATTGGTAAAAACATTGTCAGAAAACAAAAGAAACACAGTCAATATGTCATATTCAAATACTATGCAACTAATATATTTCTGCTTTACACACACATGGACATCAGCAAATTTCTGTTGCTGACAGAATATGTCATATTCAAATACTATGCAACTAATGTATTTCTGCTTTACACACACATGGGCATCAGCAAAATTCTGTTGCTGACAAGTTTATGAAATCTAAATCCTGTGCTGCCTGCATCAAGGGGGAAGATTGGCAATTAGCCAGGTATTTGGGGATCATTATGGTGGTTACTCAGATTCGAGATTTTCCCAAATTTCCCAATAGCAATTCAGATTCTCCTATGCTTTGTGTAATTCATTCCCCAACATTTTAGCACTCATTCAAAATATCCAAGGTCCATCAGCAAATAAGATAGGAAACTCTGTTTTATAATAGAAAAATGCATTTATGTAAAATAATTCTTTGCTTTTATTAAGCTTGTCCATTTAAAAATGTCTTCCCTTTGAGACTGATTTCAGATTCTTTAGGAAAACTGTGTAATTCAACTAGACTTAAATGATTGTGGTTATAAATTCATGCTTTTGATTGATAAATTACTTGGAAGTTGCTGTTAATTTTTGTGAATTTAGGTAAATTCTCATGAGTAAATTGAAAGAAATTACAGATGAAATCATTGATGATTTGAAGGTCACCATTTTTTCAGTAAATATAAAGAAACATACACATTATATTTTTAGTTTAAGACCAATATTAATCATATGAATTTAGGTTATTCTCATATATAGACTACATAGAAGATGCTGAATAAATACTTGCCAAATTGAATTACAGACAAAATCTTTTTGGTGGAACATGAATGTGTAATTGCAAAGGTCTTGTGCATTTTTAATTTAAACTGACAGTTATATATTGGTTATTGTTATATATGTATGTATGTATATATGCATGTGTGTCTGTGTATATGTATGTATGTGGATCTAATGCACATGCTTTAAAAAAAAAGCCGTTGCAATTTTGTGATTGCAGTAATGTATCTGATTTCTCCAAAGCCTTGGAGCAATATATATAATATATATTATCAGTGTGGTTATGTGTTTCAAGAGCAATTAAAGCCCAGAAGACCTTTCAGATGGCTTTTTTACTGTCAGAGGAGATATTTATTTCCTACAACCACTTAAAATGTCAGTGTTCTGTGAACTGAGGCACAAGGAGCCAAATTTCTGTCATTCCTTGTGATGCTGGGTAGGATACCACAGTAAATATTTTCATGTTATTTCCACTGAGGAGAAGTACAGAGAGGAAACTGTCATTTGGAGGCTCCAGGTCTGTCCTCCTTGAGGCATCTAGTTGAATGGCAGAATTAATGCTCTGTTGATTTCATTCTGGCCTTGTGTATGTGCATTGAAAAGATCTTGAGACATGACCATGTGTGAGAATGCGTGAGTATGCCAGACTTTGGAGAAAGACAGGGAGTTATTCTATTCAGATTCTAGAAAGAGTCACTGTGTTATCTGAGCATAGCTTTAGGGCAATCAAATTGGTCTCAAGATGATGTTAAACCCAAGAAGTAAACATCAAAAACTGAATACACAGTAAAAGAATATGTGTTTACATTTTTTTAGGCTTTTCTTTCAAGAAAAACAAAAGTAAGGAAAGTGAACACAACAACATGCATATCTGACTTCAGAATTTTATTTCTGTTATTATATATGTTGCATTTAGTTTGGCAATTCACTATACAATAGAGTGGAGCATCCACCAATAACTTTAATATAAATGTTCAGAGTAGAAATATATTTGTTCAGATTTCTAGAAATAAATAATACAATTAGTTTCAATAAGTTTACTGATTTAAGTATTTTAAGATTTCTTTTAAAAAAGTTCATAATTAAACCTTCAGAGTAGTTGAATTTCCCTTCACATTGGGTAAAGTAGTATTCAAACAGCTTGGCACATTATTTGAGCATATGATTTCTGGAGAATTACATTATTCTAGACAAATGACTTATACATGTTGTACTTTTTTCAATGGTTAGTGATTAAAAAAATGAGACAACAGAAAACTCCACACATGGGTTTTTATGATTATGAATATAAAGACAGAAACTGCCTACTCATTAGCTGTGAGTACATCTGAAAACATCAGACTGTTGATGATAGAAATTCTTCCTTTTAATTTTTTCCCTAGAGGTAGAAAGTTGCTTTCACTTATTTGTATAGCTAAAGCAGAAAAATAACCAAAAACTAATAGACAAAATATATAAATATATATGTTACATGTTATATTATAAATAGTCTTGTTTGTTCACTTTCAGACTTAAAAAAGAAACACTTACTTGAGTTTTGTACTTAATATGAGTTTAGAGCCCCAATAAAAACACTTGTAAATATATAAAGTGAAAATTTTGTGCAAATTGTTGCCAGCTTCACCTGTATACCATCATTCCTCCAAATGAATGAACTGTCTAGGTCAGACTCTAAAGACAGATTGTACATTTTCTTACTTCATCATCTAGGTGTCGGTAGATTTTACCACCTGGTAAATAATGTTAGGCTTCAACTTGTTACTAACACATTTTAATAGTGGATGAAATGTGCAGTATTTTGTTGTATGAATAAATGTATTTTGTGCTCTTCATATTTGTGGAATCATATGAGAGATTAAATAGTGATGTGTATATTTTGTTGCTAACATTGGTATGCAACTCATGTAATTTCAGTGTTTGACTAGTTTAAGACTTCGAATATAATTTTATAATAAACTTGGACTAATGTTTATCAACAGTGGTCATTTTAGACAAGTGATCTAAAACTTGGAACTCTTCAGTCCAGACTCCCATTTTCGTCTGCTATCAGATGAGATTTTTCAACTTCCCATTATTTTTGCTATCCCTTCCCTGCCCACCCTGCTGTGACATTTGCTGTCTTTCTTTCACCTGTGCCTCACCTTACCTGGGCAAGTCATAAATCATATAAGAACCTGATAATTACCAGGTCTGGTTGTCTAGTGTATCAGTCAGCATATCCTATGTGTATCTATGATAATAACACCCCCAAAAGGCTTATACATCACCTGTAGCTCCTGTCTGCTCTCAAGGGGATCTCTGCTCATCATAATCAGAAAACTCAGATGAGACAACCATTATTATCTTGCTGTTTTCCATGTTAAAAGGAAATAAAAAAACAGCATGATGAATCATACACAGACTGTTAGAGAGTCTACCCCACAGCATGATGAATCATACACAGACTGTTAGAGTCTACCTCTAAAAAGTACACATTTGCTTACTTCTTTGTCTAAAACAAGTAATATGACCTTCCTAATTTCATGGGGTGGAGATCGGGGACACGGGGCAGGTAAGTACAATACAATGATATGCAAAGAAGCATAATGCAAATAATGGTAGGCAGCAATAATGATTTCCATATGCTATAAACACTTTTCACTCTTACCTTTCTAATAACTTTTAAATAGGAACCATTTGTTTAAAAAATTATATTTTTATTTGGGAACATCACTACAAGAAACAATTAGAACTCATTCTTCATATGTACTAAGAAGCATATCTTTATAATCTATAAAGATAAAACAGACTTGAATGACATATATGTTTATAATTCATAGAAACTTCGGATTCTGAAAATACTATTGAATACAAAGGGGAAAACTTGATACTTAAAATGCAGGAGGCACCAGATGATGGTGCAGTAGTAACATAGCCGGATCCACATGGGACAGTCTGGTTTGGATCTCAGGGTCTACTTGTATGTGCTAGGTGTGTGCACATTTGCCTGTGATCTGGGCTGACAAGTCGAGGGGTGGTTTGTGGAATGAAGGCCCTGTTGGGGGTGACACTGTCTTTCTGTGACTCTTTTATGGAAGAATAAATAAATGCTGTCTTTCAAAGTTTAGGGATTGAGACATTTCTGTAGAAGCGCAAGGATTACCGTATTGCAGCATTGTCTGAGATGTTTGCTCTTCTGATAGGTGAAAATGACTGAAATGTGTTTTTACATTTGCATTGTGAATTTCCTTATGATGGAACATTTACTTTGATCCTTTGTCATTGAATTCTATTGAGAAAAACACAAAGCAGTATAATAGCATTGGAGCACAAATTACTCTGCTTCTCTTTTTTCTTTAGCTGGGAACAGTCTCTTCATTTTGAACTCAAACATGACAGTACATGAAGGAAGTAAAAATTTTGGATAAAATGAAATATTAGCAATCTTGAGATATTAAAATTTTTTTTTCTATGCTACTATAAGGAATCATTGCATAGGATTTTGGGCAGAGCTCTGTCTTTGCCCCGCATCCATACTAAGCAATATGATGATACAGTTTTGAGAAACTAGTTTGAAGGTTTTAATGTTATAAAAAAATCTCATATTGCTAAATATATTTTCAGTAAACAATGTAGATCGTTTATAAAAGAATAATAAAAATGTCACTGTATATTTACATATTCATAATAAAGCAGAGGCAGCGTTATTGAAATCTGAAGGAACTAATGTTTATTTTGGATTTAAAGTGCACTTAAAGTTTCCACTTTAGAAAGGATGTAAACTAAATCTTAGAGTTTCCTATCTAATTTCATTTGAATTACTTTCAATGTCTGATGTTTAAAATTCCAAATTTAAAAATTCATTTTCTTGTTTAGTAGTAACTTTTCCATGTTGAATGAGGTACATTAGAATATACCTATATAATTTTAGTTTTGAAAAGGAAGATTTATTAAACCTACTATTGTGCTCTGCAGATTTTTATTTCAGTGGTTAACTGTACATACAGAATATTCTTTTTAACAGATTTGCATAATACAAATGTTAAATAATAATTTTCGTGTTGAGTGAAAATAGTTTTTGTTGCTAATTTTTCTCTTCTTTCAAATAATTTTATTTCAATATGTAATTACTTATACTTCTATCTTTTTGGATTGTGAAATCACTTAATAAGCATACTCATTTTCAGTGTCGATATGTAATATCAATATTGATATGCTAAAATTTGCAGTGTGTGCTCCTATTCTCTTGTAAGAGAAACTTTGATTTTGACATCACCTCCTGTTTTTAGCACTCTAATTTTTAC